GCCCCGAGGGATTTGGGAGACAGAGGAGGAGCTGGAGCCGTTCCCAACTGCCTCTCGGTCAGATAGGTTCCAACATGGTATTGGGAACTCCCCAAAGTGGAGTTGGAAACTTAAACCCTTTGCTTTCTTGGAGGGCAAGTTTGGGAAGTACGCACTGGTTCAGGCAGGGGACAGAAGTTCGAGCCAACGGCGGGAGCGGGGAATGGAGTTCCTGACTCAAGAGGACTTCGCCAAGCTACGAAAGGGTTCTGGTGGTAGGGGCTGATAAAAGAGGTTCTTTTCGGAAGAACGGACCGTGCAGCTGTCCCCCACACTAGCTGAGCCCTGCCTCTCTTAGGCCTTGCCCCCGGATGTCAAGTTTTATCGTTTTAGGGATGAGGATCGCTGAGCCCAGACAGGCTTAGGGCCTGAGCTGGGATTAACCTGGGCATCAAGCATTTATTACGTGAATGAGGGAGTTCAGCAGTAGAGCCATCAAGCATGGGGGAGGTGGCTGATTCACTCTCCGCAAACCCACGTTATTTATTCATATCTTTGTATATTTCTGCGGCCCCTGAATCCAGCCACTGTCATCCCTTACCCTGGAAAACTACAGGGCTGCTAACTGGTCTATTGTTGTTCATGTTGTAACTAGAGATCCATTCAAAGGGAGCAAAATTACTACGGAACTTTCTGTTTAAAATCCTTCAGTTATTTTCCATGAAGGCCCAAATTCTTCGTTTGGCTTCTAGGACTTGCAAGATCTGTGCCCCACCTATCAATCCTTCCCATTCCTTCTTGTGCCTACCCCACCACCACATCCCACACCGCTGTGCATTCTAGCCCTGCTAGTGGCTTTTCAGTTCCTCAAACTTCCCTTGTTCCTCCCTGCCTCAGGGCCTTTGCACTGGCCTTTCCCTCTTCCTGGTATGCTCTCAGCCCAAGCCCTCCTCAACCCCTAGTTAACACCTGCTTATCTTTCAAATCTAGGCATACAGGCCCCTTGCTCAGGAGTGGTCTCTCTCCACCACAGATTAGAGCACTCTTCCCCCACAAGGTAAGCTCTTCTATTACCCCGTGCTTTTCCCTCATAATACCTATTGCAGGTTGTAATTACACGCTTGTAAAGGTGGTTATTTATGTCTGTCCCTCCCACCAGATTGTAATCTCCACAAGGGCAGAAGCAGCATCTGTTTTGTTCACTGTTGTATTTCTGGCACTAACATAGTACCAAGCAGATGATAAGCATTTAGTAAATAGTTTACTATTTCACTCATCCACTTTTCTTAGGGTCCAGCTCAAGATTTTTTCAGGAAATGTCCTGAAGTGGGGGAATGGTAGGGATCTATGTTTATGTCCCCTTAGAAACTACTTACCCGTAACCACCCCCCCACACACCATGGCTACCCCTTTTAGGGCAGTATAAGAAAAACCTCTCGTGTTTCTCCTTTACTAGTCGCACAGGACATTTCTGTGACCAGACGTGGAGTTTTTTCCCCCAACACTAATCAATTTTCTGATACCAGCTGGGTGTCATTCAATTTAGTCTGACACTATCTACCTGGAGTTAGGGTCAGATCCCACAAGTTAAGTAAGCACTCAGTCCCACAAGATTGCCTCCACTTCAGAGGCCAATTACAAGTCCGGGTGTCATGTCATCACCTGTACCTCTATAAATCGGGGTTCCCACTACCCCCTCCTTAGGTTCAATAATTTGCTAGAATGGCTTCCAGAACTCAGAGAAACACATTTACTGGCTTATTATATAATAAAGGAGATGATAAAGAATTCAGATGAATGGCCAGTTGAAGAGATACATAGGGTGAGGTCTGGGTTCTGAGCGCAGGAGCTTCTGTCCTTGTAGAGCTGGGGTTTGCCACCCTTCTGGTAAGGAGATATGTTCAACGCGGAAGCTCTCTAAACCAGTAGTTCAGGTTTTTTTGTTGGTGGTGGTGGGTTTTTTTTGCGGTACACGAGCTGCTCACTGTTGTGGCCTCTCCCGTTGTGGAGCACAGCCCCCGGATGCGCAGGCTCAACGGCCATGGCTCACGGGCCCAGACGCTCCGCAGCATGTGGGATCTTCCCAGACCAGGGCACGAACCTGTGTCCCCTTCATCGGCAGGCGGACTCTCAACCCTGCACCACCAGGGAAGCCCTCAGGTATTTTTATGGAGGCATCATCATGTAGGCGTGATCAATTGTTAATTCGATCTCTCCCTTCCATATAAGATGGGAGGTGTGGCTGAAGGTTCCAAGCTTCTAATTGTGGCTTAGTCTTTCTGGTGACCAGCCCCCAGCCTGATGCTATCCAGGAGGCCACCAACAGTTGCCTCATTAGGATAAAAGATGCTCTGATCACCCAGGAAATTCCAAGGGATTTAGGAGCTCCGTGTCAGGAACCAGGGTCAAAGACCAAGTATTAGGGCTTCCCTGGTGGCGCAGTGGTTGAGAGTCCGCCTGCCGATGCAGGGGACATGGGTTCGTGCCCCGGTCTGGGAAGATCCCACATGCTGCGGAGCGGCTGGGCCCGTGAGCCATGGCCGCTGAGCCTAAAAAAAAAAAAAAAAAAAAAAAAAAAAAAAAAAAAAGACCAAGTATTAGAACAAAAGATGCCCCTAGTACTCTTACTGCTTAGGAAATTATAAAGGTTTTAGGAAATCTCGCCAGGAGCCAGTTATTCTATCACAGTATCACAAGCAACACACAGAGATCTTTGCTGTCTGCAGCCTGAGAGGAGAGCAGTCCACACAACATGAGGCTGTCCTGCTTCCTCCTTGTCTGCCCAGCCTCGTACATTGCTGGACTGTTGAAGAAAGAATGGAATTTGTTTTGTTTTGTTTTGTTTTGCAGTACGCGGGCCTCTCACTGTTGTGGCCTCTCCCGTTGCGGAGCACAGGCTCCGGACGCCGCAGGCTCAGCGGCCATGACTCACGGGCCTAGCCGCTCTGCGGCATGTGGGATCTTCCCGGACCGGGGCACGAACCCGTGTCCCTTGCATCGGCAGGTGGACTCTCAACCACTGCGCCACCAGGGAAGCCCAAGAATGGAATTTGATATCACCAACATGAAGCTTGTCCACCCATCTATCTCTGAAGACCCCTGGGATCTGTCTACTTCCCTCTGAGAGAGACATCATACATTTATTCACTCATTAACTTGTTCAACAAGGGAGGAGGTATAGCAGATTGGAACTCTATGCTCTTGGACCTGTTAACTCTCCAAGACCCATTTTTCTCAACTCGAAAATGGGGCTAATGACAGTACCTATCTCCTAGGGTTGTCCTGAGAATTCTTGAAAAGGGCTAGCATAATCGTTAGTACATTACAAATAAATGTTAGCTGCTATTATTGCTTGAACATCAGCTGGGCACTGGCAGAAATGTGAAGCTGAATTAGACGTATGGTCTAGAAGGAGAGAGGAAAGCAGATCATCACTAGATAAAGTGTGATCAGTTCTATTAGAGGTAGACAAGCAAGAGTTAAGGGTGAAAGGTTCTAGGTTCTCCAAACACCCTAGTTTCCCTTCTAGATATATTTTTCTGTGTGTAGGGAGGGTGGTAAGGGGTGGGGGCTCTGTCCCAACAATCTAAGTTCTTCCTTCCCTGTGCAGAGGTACTGTGAGGAAGGGACTCTAACTTGACTTCAGTGATGGTGATAGTGGGAGGTGCTCTAAAAACTCCCTATGCCTGGACTAATCCCTCATTCTTCTCCCAGAAGGTTCATATTGCTGGAGAAGTGGGGATGAGAGGAAGGAGAGGTATTCAAAGTTAGGAGGTAATGTGAGATGTGCTCTTTGTATGGTTCATTTTCTTATTCCTTAGTGTATGGTGAAGCTTCCTTTGAAATGCAGGCTGATTTATCTGAGCCAGGGGACCATTAGGGAGGTCGATGTCCATAGCCGGGCAGAACATTGCAGAGAAAACAGTACCCCTCTTTCCTCTGGACATGTGTGGTAGAGGCCATGGGAATCAGTGTGGGAGGAAAGAGGAGGCAGAGTCAGGATTATAGGCCCTTACTCCAGGTTCCCTGGAGCTTTGGCTGCTATGCTCCTGGGCCCCTCCAGCTGGCTGCCCTCTTCCTGGGCTGTTGACTGAGGAGATCCGTATGTCAGAGCCTTTCTGTCCAGGATATAGCAAGATTACTCCACAGCCAAGGCCAAGCCCAGCCTTCACAATGCAGGACTCCTAGTGACTTCCCTTGACCTCTGTGTGGCTTGTGAACAGCTCAGCCTGGAGGAGAAGCTAGGGTTCTGAGTCCTGCAGTACTTAGGGAAGGAAGAATCAGAGGAGCACCAAGCACTGACTGCCTTCCTGAGTCCCACATCATCCCATCTCACCGTCCAACAAGCCTGTCAGTCCAGCAGCATTATCCCCATTTTACAGAGGAAGAAACTGAAACTCAGATTAAGGGCCTTGCATGTGACATTTGCCATCATCATCAAGCATTAGTGAGCTCCTGATTAGATCATAACAATTCTTTGCTCAAACCGGCTAATGAAAACCTGAAGCCGTGACAATAGCCTACAAAGTTCTGCCCATTGCCTTTCCTCTCTAACCACCACACTTCCACCCTTCCTGCTCACTCTGCTCCAGCCACTCTGGCCTCTTTGCTATTTACTCCGTAAAATGACAGGCACATTTCCACGTTCCCACCTTAGGGCCTTTGTTTTTCCTTCACAAGAATGTAAGCTCTACAAAGGCAAGGTAATCGTCATCTCGTTCTCGGATGTATCTCCAGCCCTCAGAACAGTCCGTGGCATTTACCAGGTTCTCAATAAATGTGTACCTGGTGAATGAATGAATAAATGAATACTGAGACCTAAGATTGCGGGCTGGAAGCCTCTGGACTGGAGGGTATTCGTTCTGAGAGCTGGAGGGTGGGAGAGGGATTCAGAGTGCGGGGAGTGGCCACAACGGGCGCACGGGTCTCCGAAAAGGCGCTCGAGAAACTACATTTCCCATGAAGGTCTGGGGGCAGAGGGGCCGAGGGTGCTGCCGGGAAAAGTATACGTGCTAGAAGCCAGGGCTGGTGCCGCGAAGATGGCCGCTCAGAGAGGTGGGCTGTTGGCTGGGGTGCCAGCGAGCGTGGGGGTGGGTCGCGTCCTCGGACCCTTCCCAACTTGATATACCAGGTAGAACCCACCCGCGGGGCTCTGCGAAAAGATGGATGGGCGCCGGGCAGAGGAGGGGGCACCTGCGATGGGAATTGAGCCGTTATTGCAACTCTCGAAGGAGGGCCTTGAGGGGAGAGGGCTGCGCGTGGGTTACTTCGAGACGCGGTGCGGTGGAAATAGATTCCTGCCACCCTCTCCCCGTCACCTTAACGCAACTATCTGCCTCACGTCAGCAGAAGATCTTTACTGCCGGTCTTAGAGATGGGAACATCGAGGCCTGCAGAAGGGTCTCAACTAACAACCTATAAACCCCTTATTTGACTCTATCCCCCAGACAGAACCCTCAGCTAGGGTGTAGTTTCCCCGGGACAGGAGAGTCAGGCCTCAGGAGTGGAGTGGAAACTGACGCTCTGTCTGTACCCCCAGTATTCCCACTTTCCTGTGTGGTGCAGCAGTATGCCTGGGGGAAGATGGGCTCCAACAGTGAAGTGGCTCGGCTGCTGGCTAGCAGTGACCCACTGGCCCAGATCTCAGAGGACAAACCATATGCAGAGGTGAGACCCGGGCTGTATTTTAGCCTCCTTTACCAGCAGGTGGGACCAAGGAACTCCTCCACTCAAGGGGCCCCAGGCAAGTCATGTGAATCAGCTGGGAAGGGAAGATAGGAAAGAGAGAGAAGGCCTCCTTGGCTTTTGAGATCTGTGCAGGTTGATGAACCCACATGGTAGCACTAGAAGAAGTGAGGTTTTGTCATAATAGACTGGAATTTCCCAAGAACTGTCAGCACTTACTGACTTTTATTTATTTATTTATGGCTACATTGGGTCTTTGTTGCTGCGCGGGGTTTCTCTAGTTGCAGTGAGCAGGGGCTACTGTTCGTTGTGGTGCACGGGCTTCTCATTTCGGTGGCTTCTCTTGTTGCGGAGCACGGGCTCTAGGCACGTGGGCGTCAGTAGTTGTGGCACATGGGCTTCAGTAGTTGTAGCTCGCGGGCTCTAGAGCGCAGGCTCAGTAGTTGTGGCACACAGGCTTAGTTGCTCCGTGGCACGTGAGATCTTCCCGGACCAGGGATCGAACCCACATCCCCTGCTTTGGAGACGGATTCTTAACCACTGCACCACCAGGGAAGTCCCAGCACTTACTGAATTTTAATTCAGCCTCCCTTGACAATTAAAATTTTTCCTTTGACTAAGTTTGACATTTTTAATAACCTAAAATATATTTTTTTCCTGCCCATTTAGTAAGAAAAAGCCAAAGCACAGGAAGGCTTAGCCTCTACTTCTGAGACTAGAATAAATGAATGTTAACCCCTCACAGAGCCACCTGAGAGTCAGAGCTTTTCAGTGACCTTGACAATGCAGGTTTCATTCTCCTCACTGGACAGATGAAGAAACTGATACCCAGAGACAGGAAATAACTAGCCCAAGCCTCCACAGCTGGTTGGAGGCAGATCCTGGACTAGAGCTTGGGTCTCCTGACTCCTGGTGTTCTGGGTCTGCTGCCCTCATGTATGTCTGTGATGGTATGAGCATTTATACCCGGTCTTGGGAGTCCCATTTCAGAACTTGGCTGCCCTGTGGGGAGCACAGGGTAACGGATTGGGTTAGGCCAGTGGGTGGTGCCGGCTTCTTCCTTTTTCCCTCCCAAGTTTCCTGTTTTTACAGCTGTGGATGGGGACCCACCCCCGGGGAGATGCCAAGATCCTTGACAACAGCATCTTGCAGAAGACCCTAGGCCAGTGGATTGCTGAGAACCAGGACTGCCTGGGTTCGAAGGTCAAGGACACCTTTAATGGCAAGCTGCCCTTTCTCTTCAAAGTGCTCTCAGTCGAAACAGCCCTGTCTATCCAGGCACACCCTAACAAGGTACAGGATCAGGGTAGGGCACAGAGGTCAGGGTAGAGAAGAACTTATGTCAAGGCCCTCCTGCAACGTTTACTGCTGCTTTTACCCTGCCCATGCCAGGCTCCAGCCCCCAATTAAATCCAAGCCTGTCAACTCCCAATTTAGCTCTGCCAAGCCAGTTGCTGGTGACACATGTGGCAGCTAAGTTTAAGTGGACAGCTGACCAGCCTGTGCCAGGGGAGCTTCTCCACGCTTGTTCCTGGGCTCCCCTCAGCTAACCCAGGACTATTCATATCTGCCATTTTTCCACCTGGCTCTCTCAAAGAGTTTACCTTCCAAGGCAGGGCAAGTACCCTAGTCATTGCCTCAGCTCCACTCCCGTGTCTTTCTGCACAAGCCCGTGAGTCACAGCCTAAGCTTTTGTCTGTCCAAACTCCTCATTTCTAGATGAGCAAAGTAAGACCCAGAGAAGAGAGGGATTTACCCAAAGTCACACAGCTTGTTAGTGTCAGAGCTTGGCTTGGTGTTTGGGTTTCCTGATTCGCAGTCCTCTTAAAGCCTGCCCCACCTCTCCCCCACAGTTGGTCCATGTACCTGCCTTGGGTTGGCCGAGCCCTGAGTTTCTGAATTATGCCTTGACTGGGCTCAGTGCCAGAGGTAGGAAGCTGACTGGGGAGTGTTGAGAGCAAGGTCTGGGTGAGACTGGTGTCTTCCTAGATGATGGCTGCACCTTAACCATTCTCCTCTTCCCTGGCCATCCCACAGGAGCTGGCAGAGAAGCTGCACCTCCAGGCTCCACAGCACTACCCCGATGCCAACCATAAGCCAGAGATGGCCATTGCCCTCACCCCCTTCCAGGGCTTATGTGGCTTCCGGCCAGTTGAGGAGATTGTGACCTTTCTGACAAGTAAGGTTGGACAAAATGCTGAGAGCATGCATATTGGCCTAGGATGCATGGGCAACCCAGGGCAGAGCTGGAACAGTGGCAGAGAACAGAGGCTGAATGTCACAGGAACTGAGGGGCTTGTTGGCCTCATGAATTCTTGACACTCCGAGGGCAGGCCCATGAGACCAGGCTCAGGTGTGATTGCTGAGGGTTGGTGGTGAGCAGTCGCTTTTCACTGCAAAGCTTGCATAGCATTGCCCGGCTCCTTGGTTAGGGATGAGACGGGGAGGCCTCCTCCAGCTTCCCACTTTTGCCAGTTCCATCTTTACCATTCCTGATATGGGCCCTGGCCTGACCTTCCTGCAGAGGTGCCCGAGTTCCAGTTTCTAATTGGAGATAATGCAGCAACACAGCTGAAGCAGAGCCTGAGCCGTGACTCCCAGGCTGTGGCCTCTGCTCTGCAGAGCTGTTTCTCCCACCTGATGAAGAGTGAGAAGAAGGTAGTGGTGGAGCAGCTCAACCTGTTGGTGAAGCGGATCTCCCAGCAAGGTAGGTGTCTCAGGCCTGGGTGCAATGCCCTGTCCTGGGCCTCTGGCACAGACACTAGGCTGTGGGGATAGGGTTCTCAACCCCTTTGTTCAAGTAGAGCACCAAAACGGGCCTGACTTAGATGGCCTGTTAGTGACTTAGCATTTCTTTCCCAGTCTTTGTGGAACAAGGCCCTTGGTTGAGTGCTGCTTCTAGCTGCTCTCCATGGAGTGTTTTATACTTTGGGGCTAGAGAGCAGGAAGGAGATGAAGGGATCCTCTCTCCGCCAAAGGCCTGAAGTCCAGAGCTCTCAACCAGTAGATCTTTCCTTAAATACCTGCTCTGTGCCCAACCTTGTGCTAACTAAGGAGAGTTCAGGAAATGACTGTGATGGGTATGGTTGTGTCACCTTTGGGTTGGAGAGTCAATACAAGCAGTGAAAAACAAGGCAGAATGGACTCTTCTGCTGGGAGCTTATATGGCACATGTGCTGAGGCCCCAGCTCCTTTTCCATGCAAGCCCAGAGCTCTTCTGGTTCTGTTTCTACCCATTTCCCCTATTACCTTTGACCCACAGGGAACTATTTATTTTACCCAAGCATATCCTATGTTTTGTTTTGTTTTGTTTTTTGCTGTCTTCTCTGCTTGCATGCCTCTCCCTTTAGGGCTTCTTGCACTCACAGTAGAGCTGATTACTTTTGCTCAGAGCTCCCATAGCACCCCGTTCATACGTCAGGTATAGCCCTTAACACCTGTGTGTAGATATCATCACATGCACACCTGTTAAAACTGGAGTTTTCTCTAGGCCAGGGACCTGTCTCCTTGACCTTCGTGTGTCCCCACAGTGCTTAGCACAGAGTAGGCATTCAGCATGTGTCTGTATGAAGACTCGAAACAACCCTCCAATCCAGACCAACTGGTCTCTTCATTGTGGCACTGACACACACTGCTTTTACTTAGAGACACCCTCCCCCTTCTCTCCACAGTCAAGGGAGCCCAGCTCACCACCCTCCCCTCCTCCCCCCAGTTCCCAAGAAGCCTTCTGCCACCACTCTTGATCAGGCTGAGCTCATCTCCCCTGCTCAGCCTCCAGGACACATTTTAGCCCTTGGTTGTATCCTGCCTCATGCTATCTGGGGTGACCAACCATGTCAGTTTGCCTGGGACTGAGTGATTTTCACTGTTAAGGGAAAGGCCTGGGCTAATTAGGACAGTTGGTCACCCCACATGGAACCCTTGGGTTATCTCCTAACTAGATTTTAAACTCCTAGAGCAGAGGTTATCAACCAGGGGACACTGGCAGTCTGGAGACATTTTTGGTTGTCAAACCCAGGTTTGGGGTGCCAGTGGTATCTCGTGGGTGGAGGCCAGGGATGCTACTGAGCATTCTGCAATGCACAGGACAGTCCCCACAACAAAGAATTACCTGTCCCCAAATGTCAATAATGCTGAGGTTGAGAAACACTGTCTAAAAGGACTACACTCTAGCCCTTTTAGTGCCTAGTAGAGTGGTGGGCATATAGATAGTCAAAATGGGGAAAACGGCCATCTGTGTAGGCTGGAATATCAAGGAAGGCTGGCCCCCAAAGGGTGGGGGATGTGACGAGAAGAATATGCCCACCAGTTTCTGGATTCCTTGGGTAGGGTCTTCTCCAGGACTCTCCTTGGCCAGGGTGGGGCTGTGAACACCACTGAGGGTTCCTAAGTGGCCTTGGGGTGCTCTGTGACCCTCAGTGGCTGCTGGAAACAACATGGAGGACATCTATGGGGAACTCTTGCTGCAGCTGCACCAGCAGTACCCAGGTGATATCGGATGCTTTGCCATCTACTTCCTGAACCTGCTTACCCTGAAGCCGGGGGAGGCCATGTTTCTGGAGGCCAACGTGCCCCATGCCTACCTGAAAGGAGGTGAGCCGCATTTCAGCAGTGAGCCCCACTGCCATCCGCCTCAGGCCTTGTTTCCCCATCTGGACAAAACAGGAGGGGGTGGTCGAGGAGACCACTTTTAAAGTCCCATCCAGCTCTGACCTCCCAGGGTCCCTGGGGTCAGCAGGGAAGTGACCAATAGGGATGATGAATGCCAGCTTGAGTTGGACAACTGCTTGGATCCTCACACCACCCCTGTGAGGTCATGATGCTCTCATGTTAAGACCTGTCAATATGTGTGGGAACCACAGTTTGTATCCAGGCTATATTGGATCAAGGCCATTGTTCTCTTCCCTGCCTTCACATGCCTGTCCTGTCTTCGCAGAGATTTTATGTTAAAAAACACATTGCCGGGCTTCCCTGGTGGTGCAGTGGTTGAGAGTCCGCCTGCCGATGCAGGGGACGTGGGTTCGTGCCCTGGTCCGGGAAGATCCCACATGCCGTGGAGCGGCTGTTCCCGTGAGCCATGGCCGCTGAGCCTGCGTGTCCGGAGCCTGTGCTCCGCAACGGGAGAGGCCCCAACTGTGAGAGGCCCGCGTACCGCAAAAGAAAAACACAAAAAAACACATTGCCACAGAACGGTGTCACATTTTGACTGTTGGCCGTTTATCCACTCGTGGACAGGATTCTGTGGTAGAAGGGGAGAATATTAAGTCTCCAGAGGGTTGGGGCTCCTCCAGGGGATAAACATGACTCCCCTTGACAATGGTGGGTGACGTGTCACCTGTTTTGGTATCTGTTATCTTAGCCCATTGTCACAGAAGACGCAATTCACACATTTTTATCTAATTCTACAGAGAGCTCATGGCACTCAAGTTAGAAGGCCCTGCCCTGGAGAGCCAAATTCCAAGGCATCCTTCATTAGCTTACCACATGACAACTGTCTATCCCCAGACTGCGTGGAGTGCATGGCATGTTCGGACAACACGGTGCGTGCTGGCCTGACACCCAAGTTCATCGATGTGCCAACTTTGTGTGAAATGCTCAGCTATATCCCCAGCCAGGACAGGCTCTTTCCTCCAGCATGGAGTCAGGAAGACCCCTACCTCTCTATCTATGATCCTCCTGTGCCAGACTTCACCGTTATGAAGATGGAGGTGAGTGAGGGCTGTGGTGGGTGTTTGTTTTGTTTTGTTTTGTTTTTTTGTGGTGGGTGTTTTTTGTGTGGCATGAAGAACGCTGGCAAGGGCCACAATGTGGAGTATACCTGGGGCTGGGTTTCCTTTCTGCCAAGCTCATGTGATGAGAGAATGGCCACAGGGCCTGTCTGTGGCCCTCTGCACCAGGGACCAGACAAGGGCCTCCATGCTGACAAAAGCCCAAGCCGTGGGGGAGAAGGTGGCAGAGCTCTCCCTCTCACTGTCTTTGGGGTCATCCCGGGACCCCTGTGAGCTAACAGCAGCTCAAACCCTGCTCCATCTTGCTGTTTCTTTCTGCTCAGGTGCCTGGCTCCGTCACTGAATATAGGGTCTTGGCACTGGACTCTGCAAGTATCCTCCTGATGGTGCAGGGGACAGTCACAGCCAGCACCCGCACAGCTCAGGCCACAATCTCCCTGAAGCGTGGAGGGGTGCTCTTCATTGGGGCCAATGAGAGTGTCTCACTGAAGCTCACGCTGCCTGAGGACCTGCTGATGTTCCGTGCCTGCTGCCTGCTGTAGAGGCCACAGCCTTCCTGGCTCTTCTCTGCCAGTCACCCTACATCCTGGCCAGCCTCACCTCCTCAGGCCCAGCCCAAATCCCTTCAGGCCCAGCCCAAATCCCTTCCCTGTTCCGGGCTCTTTGGGTATACCCTGAAAGAGCTGGGGTAGAAGAGCTTGAAGTCAGTGACTCCTGAGCAGGCCTAGGCTGAACCATCTTCTTCCTGGTAGGAGGGGCCCACGTGAGAACTGAGGGCTGATACTCCCCTTGTATTCTTGCCACCCTTGAGCCAGGCTCTCCTCAATACACGAAGCTGCAGCTGTTCCAGCCTATAGCATTAGGCAGGGTGGTGAAATCTATGATTAGCTCAGTATCAGTCACGGCAAGATAGGTAATTAATTTGGGAGTACAGGGTTCTGGCCCCGGGACTGCCCATTTCCTCAGTGCAGAGAAGGAGGGAAAAGGGTAGGCCTGTGGACTAGTGTTGCTGTGTCAAAGCAATTAAAGATCACCTGTGTTGAGGCCTGTGGGCTAAAGAGCACTCAGCCTTTGCCATTCCAGTCCCTGAAGCGGGCTGAAAGAGCCCTCCCTGGATGTTGTCCAGTTTTTGCTTTATTCCTGTTTCAGACAGCTTCCTGAGGTAGGCAGGCTAGACTCCAGAGGCCTTTTAAAGGAAGGTGTGGGAGAGCCTGCTGTAGCCTCAGCTGCGGAGCTTGCAGGCAAACCTTGGGCCCTCCAGCCCTGCACCCAGTGGAAGATGGGTCTAAAGAAAGGCATTGTCAGTGCAGAGGTTCTCTCCAGTGCTTTAGTTGGCTTTAGGGCAGGGATCATCAGGCTAAGGTCAGCAGGCTGGATCTGGCCACGCCCTTTCATTTACATACTGTCCAGCTCCATTCAGGCTACAATGGCAAAGTTGAGTAGGTGCACCAAACTGTATGGCCTGCAAAACCAAATGTACTGACTGGCCCTTCACAAAGGTTGTCAATCACTTCTCTAGAGCACATTCAGTCACGGTAGATACAGGGACTAAAGGACAGGACAATCTAATTAGTATTGTGAAGAGAAATCAAGCTACTTTTTTTCTACAATGGCAGGAAGTACCTATGAGGGCATCTACTCTCCCTGTGCCTACCCTCTAGAGGTGGGACACACCCAGGAGGTTGCACAGCTGTGTGTTTTGCCACTGAAGTTTCTGACTAGCAGTCTTAGATGCTATCACCCCAGACTAAGCAGAGACCCAGGCTAGTAGCTCCTTCCTGTAGGTAAGGGATTAATCTCACACAAAAGAATCTTTCTGGGCTGCTGCCCACACTAGACCTATACAATGGAATTCCAGGAAACTACCTTCAAAAAAGTTCTAGCCAATCTGTTCGGCTTTTTTTTGGCTTCCGGTAAATTTTCTTCAGCTGGAAAACAAAAACCCTGAAAAACAAAAAACCTGGGAAGAAAGGGTCTGCCAAAGGGAATTCATTCTAATGAGAAGTGATATGCAAAGGCCTATTCCATCCATGGTCTCCAATGAGCAGGCCTGAAAACTACGCCTATTGGGAACAGAAGAAAGGAGAGGCAGTCCTCAGAAGAACGGTTGGGGCTATTAGGCTATTTCTTCATTTCAGAATTCAGAAGGGGCAATGACCATGGTCTAGGCCTTTGTTAAAAATCCTATTGCAACACAGAGACTCAGGTTCAACTAGCATGATTGTATTTATTCTTACAAACTTACAGAGCTATAGAAGCCTAAGCCAAGAGTTCTGTAAACACCATACAGTACCACTCCCATCTGTGAGGTAAGCCTGAATACCTCCCTGTCTCCTCAGAGTGCTGTCACCTGCAAAACACCCAGCACTTTTAATTAAGGCAGTCTGGTTCTAGACACCTTGGTGCCTTTATTTGTGACATTAGGCTTTATTCATGACATTTGTGGCTTCTAGTCCCAAGCAATCGACCATTTCTACCCTTCCTTGCTGTACAATGTTCCTGCAACTTTTTCTACGAAGGTAATGCCTTCCACACAGGGTCAACCAGCTCTGAAACATTCTGGGGGAGAGGTGCGGCCAAATACACCAGTGTGGCTTTATAACAGCAACCACCGGAGGGCCTGGTTCTTGGGGTCCTGCTGCCATCCTCACACCCAGCAGCTGTCAAACACTCAGGCTACTCTGTCCTAACCAAATGAAGCAACAGACTGGGCAAGTTCCCAAGTTGGGGCCACACCTCAATCCTGACGACCCTACCCTTTAGGCTGGGAACCCTGTCCACTCCCATTCAGTCCCATTTGGTTTTAGGTAAGGCCAAAAAAAAAGAACCACTAAATAATTAAATTTCAGAGAGAGGTCTGGTATAGCAAGAGATGCTATCTACTGGGGGTCACGGGAGATGATGCCGGCCTTTTGGTGTTTTCATACTGGGGACTGAAAGAGGCTGTATTGAACCTAGAGGTTTACTGTAAAGCCCAATCCTGAGTATCCACTGTGAGGCCCATGCTGTGGTCAGAGGAATCTGGATGCAACAGGATGGCTTTCCCTAGGGTGAAGGGAGGCCCTCTGCAATGGCAAGATTATTTCCTCAGGTGAGGGCCGTGGCAGCTTTCACAGGTCCCTCCTCATCCTGTCTGTGAGCCTCTGTCTCTGTCAAAGCCCACATATCTGCACCAGTATACTTTTCACCCATTGCTGCTCAAGTGTAAAAAGTCAAATAGGGGAATTCCCTGGCTGTCCAGTGGTTAGGACTCCGCGCTTCCACTGCAGGGGCCTGGGTGTCATCCCTCCCTGGTCGGGGAACCAACATTGCCACAAGCCGCGGTGCGGCCAGGGTGGGGGAAAAAATAAAGTTAAATGGGAAGGCACCTAACTACTCCTGCAGCTCCCTCTGCTGGTAAGCAAAAAGTGCAGGCTTCTGGGGCGAGCTCCAGAACCTTCACCCAACCTTAGCTCAAGGACTGGGTGAAGATACTAGCTAAGACCAAGGTGAAGAATGGCAACCAAGGAAAGACAAATTTTGTCTACACAGTAGAGCAGTTTTTCTCTAAGGATGGACGGACTGAGTTACTAAGCTCACCCAGACAGTTGGACCAGATGGGAATGCTGTGCTTCCAGGGATTCTGGAAGCCTTGATCAGGTTGTGCCATTAAGCAACCTGCTATACAGTCAAACAGGGACAAGTGGAAGAGGGCCTCCAAAGGGTCCTGCTTTATGTTCTCTTGAAGGTCAAACAGGTAACCCATCTTGGAGCCAGGAAGAGGAGGAAAGCACATGGAATTTCTTGAACTGGATTGGTCCCAAATAGTTATTCTTTTTCAAAGACTCCCAGCTGCAAGCCATAAAGGTGCTGTTCTCTGCCTCCACACAACATACCCAGCACAGCCTGGGCGCAGGAGCTCTCCTTTCCCCTCCATACGGCATGGTGACAAAGATGTCTGCAAGTTTTTCTCTTAGCCAACTTTGTCACTCACCCTAAGAACCAGAATTCCTCTGTTCCTTCCCTTATTAAAGTGGTTTCTCCAACCACTCCAACAGCAGAGGAAAACTGCAGAATTCCACCTATCCCCTGTGGCCCAGATGGGGGCCAATGGCCTGAGAAGCACCAGGTATGGGGTAACTGTGGTCACTGACTTTCCCAGAGGGTCAGTGTCTCCAGTGATTCTGGGGTTGACAGCAGTTCCCACTGCACTCTGACCGACGAAGGGCCAACAGGACCCTGCAGTCATGGTAAGCAGGGTCCATCTTAGGGGGTAATGTCTACTGGAGGGTACAGGAGGAAGCATCCCTAAGACAGCACCAGCAGCAGGAGCATGTTGAGGCGGTCATAGGCTTGGGGGGAATGAGGTCCAAGTCCTCATCATCTGGAATCTCATCCAGGTGGTACCCATCCTGGAGCAGCTGCCGGCTCACATCCTGGTTCACCTGCTAAGAGCAGGAGAGGAGAGAACTATAAGCCAGGTTACAAGGCAGAAATAACTGCTGCCCAAAAGGCAGACCCACATTTCCTTACTATGCGTGCTCCACCCTCAGGCCAAGCCCACACAACCCTGGATTACAGGAGGAAGTGCCTCACCCAGCAGGGAGGGACATCCAGGGGCCTGAGCCAGTACTATCCAGGTTGCATTGTCACTAGCTGCCAGGGAAGCTGCCCTCACTAAAGAATCCTGCGAAAGCTGATATAAATATCAGATTACAGATTATGTTTGAAAGTCAAGACCTGACCATTCCCACTGGGAACCCAGATCGGTCCCTATGAAGGCTGAAGAACATGGAACAATGATAACAGAATAATCGGGTAGAAGCGTAGAGGAATATGGGTTAGAGTTGAACGGGGTGGGGAATAGCTTTTTCTGCACTGCCAGTTAGACATGTCATCCTTTGATGCCAACAGAGCTCATTCCTTGCAAAGTGGCACCTGTCAGCCCGGCTTCACCAATTCCACTGAGCAGAAGGAAAATGAAACTGCAGAGTGTAGGACTTTCTCTGGTTCTTGGCTAATTTTTTTTTTTTTTTAACAATCTTAGGCACCCAGAGGTTCAAGGAGGATACAATTTTCAAACTGCCTGTATTCTCTGGCAGAAACTCAGGGGGCAGCCAAGGGTTCCAGGAGAATAAGGAAGAAATACCAGTGGTATACAGTCAGGTCCCCAGCACTTCATCTCTGTCAAAGGCAGTAAGCCGCACGTGCCAGAACTTTACGTCCCCGTGTTTCTGTCTGGGCCAGTCACTCTGGAAACTGTCCAAAAGGCCAGCCCAGGAGTATCTATCTCTGTCTCAGTTCCCATAGATGGAACAACTGAAGGAACAGAAGTTGGCCTGGAAGAAAGCAAGCTTGGTGGAGGATGGCCAGGGGCGGGACAGAAATGCTAATCTCAGATAAAAGACAATCAAAAGAAGGGAGACTAGAATTACTGTGTGATACTGGAGGCAGGACTAGGACCACTAAGTCCAAGCTGCAGGAGACACTTCCAATTAACAAGGAAGACTTCTCTACGAGCTACCTGAATTGTGTGTGCCGGTGGGGGAAGACAGGCAGCAAGGTTTCTTGAAAGTAGTACTCACTTCTCACTACTCACTACCCAATTACAAGAAGCATTCAAACAAGCAGAGGATAGTAAACACTTAGCTGGGATTATCAAGAGGATTCCTTTTCTAAGTGGTGGCCTGGATTAGAAGACTAGTGAGGTCATTTCCATCCCTAAGGGTCTATGGTCTCCTGGACTTTCAACAGTGCTCCTCAGACACCTAAACTTCTGCTGGAGGAAGAGGGCAGAGTAGAAGATTGGAGAACAGACTGGAAGTCTAGCACAGTGCCATGCATACAGCAGGAACCAGACAAGCATTTGGCAGTGGCAGTGGCAGTGACACTGCCTGCACCCTGGCCCCACCACAGAAAGGTGCTCTGGACTTGCCTCTGCAGAGGAATACCCGGAGGAGTATCTGGATTCCAGCTCCCCATCACTAGGAGAAAAGGAAGACAGTCAGTTCGGGGAGATGCCCATGGAGCACAGCTACAAATGGCAAGGTGCACAGCATGCAAAGGAGTCTGGAGGACTTGTGAAGCAAAGACCACACACCATATAACTCAAACCCATAATCTGCCATGAGTATAAATGGCTCCTTCCATTGGCTCCAGCAGGGACAGGGTCACTGTCACTAACAGTGCAGACATAATAGGGCAGGATGATTCCCCCAGACAAGGTTGGTGCTTCAAATCCAAGAGCAGCAAGATCACCTATGAGTCCTCTAAGCAAGCCATCCTGGGAAGAGACAGTGCTCTGAAGCAGCAGCCCTGGAACATGCACAAAAGGTCTTGGAAGAGACAGGGAATAAGCAAAGCAAGTGATCTGAAATTTTATCCACGTCACTCCCCAAGGGGTATTTTCAAGGAGGGCACTCACCTGTCAGAGTCGAGGGACACCAGGTTTTCATCTGGACTCTGACTAAGAGCAGTATAGCCCTTGTTAAACTTCACTGACCTGAGGGGAGATGGGGGGACAGACCAAGCATAGATGAAACGCCAGCATTTCACAGGGAAAGCCAGAGTCCTCACCCTTATGGAAAAAAAAAACAAAAACTGCACTACTCCTGACTTGCCTTCTGTCTGGACAGCCACCACTGCCTGCCATGTATCTGGGCACAGCTCCTCAGAATGTGCACTTCCCCACACCACTCCCCCTGCTGCTCCTGAGCAAAAGCACACCTCCTCTTTCATGAATCAGGAAAAGCCCCATCTCCTCACCTTATTTAACCAGAGGACAGAAAAACCAAAGTCCTTAGACAAATTCCTTCACCTGCTTTAGCTCATCTTTGTAATAGAGGCCCTGGATAAGGTCCCATCCAGCCCTCAGTTTACCGTCTGTTAAGAAAAAAATACAGCCCTGGCTGTTTCCACACTGCTCTCCATGCTCACTCCTGGGGATCCCAGCCACTATGCTCCCCCCTAATTTAGACAGTGAATGATCCTAGGCACTGACGAAAACTCTTATTCCAAAGCTCCTTCCCTGACGTCATCACATCCTGGAAGGGAAAGACAAGGTCGTTCCTCTGCCCGTTTTAAAACAGTGAACCGGACAGGTTGGCCTTAGGGGCATCACTAGCTGGGCCTTAACCGTGGGTACTCCGTCTCCCAGACTACACTAAGGCCTTCTCTGGAAACGCTTGCACAGAGGAGGTGACGCCTGCTGAGACCTTTTCCCTGAAGAGTCGGGGCGGTTCGGCGCGGCCCCCAGCATGCCTTTTCTCCGCAGAACTGCCTTAGCCAGGTCCCGGTGCTTCTCTGGAAGTCAAAGGGACCGGGTCAGCGGGGTGTTCCCCACTCCGCCGTGCCTCCCAAATGCCAGGAGCCCGCTCTCCGAACAGACTTCCGGGTGCGGGAGCGGGATGTAGGAGCCCCTCCGGGGTCGACCCAGCGGCGCTCCGGAGCCCGCCCGGGACGCGGCAGCCCGCCCAAGCAGAGACCCCTCATCGGGCCGCACTCACGCAGCTTGGCCTGACTGGAAGGCACGCGCGCCACCATGTACGGCCCCCGCTTCTCCACAGCCGCCGGGTTCCGCTTCCCCAGCCAGGGGGCTCCAATGCCGCTTCGCTCGGTGGGCGGCCCTGCAGCTCCGGTCCCACTGGGCCGGGGTGCCGGGAAAGACGCCCTCACCGCAGGCTCGCTGGGCTCAGCGGTCGCCATCGCCTGGCCACGCCCCGCCGAGTCGCGGAGCCCCGCCTCCTGGCTAACCAGCTGTCAGCCGGGAGAGAGGCGGTCCCTCCTCGAGCAAGATGGCGGCGCGCAAGTGTGGGCCGTAAGGGCCTGAGCTTTCTGGTCGCGCCTGCCGCAGGTTTGGCTCAACTGTTCCGCCCTTCCGGGGGCTGGATTGTTTCAGTCCCTCCTTTCTAGCACCCGGCGGTCCTCGTAGTCGGCCTGAGCTTGGGGATGTCAAGCCAAGTTATGTCTCTAGTCGAAATTAAATATCGATATTTCCGGGGGGCTGCGGGTGCGCGCCCTCAGACTCAGAGCCCGTTAGGCCCTGGCGCGCACGCGCTCCCCGCAGTGTTTCCGCACAGGTCCTCTCGCCACAGCCGGAGCTCCCCAAGGGCGGACCGGGGAGAGGCTGGATTGAACCGAAAAGAGCGGTATGACAAAGGGGAGGTATTAGCTCCCGTCTCTACAAAAGGAAACAGGCTAGAGAGAAAGGTTCAAGGACCTTGTGGAGGTCACACAAACTAGAGGCAGTGCCTTGGTAACGCCAAACCTTCGTTCTTTCCAACACCACGCTGTGCCCGAGACCTTGGATGAGACCTGACCTTCTCTAGGCCTCAGTTTCCACATTTTAAAATGAAACCAACGTCACTACCTGTCTGACGGTGATAAGGACAAAATAGGACTTGGAAAGAAGAGCAAAAGTGCGCTGTGTTTGGGATTTCCCTAGTGGTGCAGTGGTTAAGACTCCACGCTCCGAATGCAAGGGACCCGGGTTCCATCACTGGTCAGGGAACTAGATCCCCCATGCATGCCAGGCAACTAAGGATCCCACAGGCAGCAACGACGATCCGGCGCAGCCAAATAAATAATAACTAAATATTAAGAAAGAAAGTGCGCTGCGTTTGTGTGCGTCGGGGCATGGAGCTGTCACGGCTCTTGACGTTTCTGGACCCCAAGGGATGTGCTTGTGGCTGGCTGGAAAGTAGCTCCAGATCCTTGTAGTAATTGCCAAATCTAACAAGGCTGTCCCAAGGTGAATTTATTAGCTTCCACAGGGTAGGTCAACAGTGTGCAACTTATGAACCCCCAGGGCCACCCAGAGAGTTGAGCGGGAGTATGCCGCAGACAGGATAAGAGGAAAGGACTAAATTTTTTGAAAAATCAGAAGCGCAAAGGAATGCTATTTTGGTAGATTCCACCGCTGTTTTTGACCTCCAGACACAGCAATTTCATGTGGCTCAACTTAATATTTAATCCTCCTAACCTCCCAATGAAGCACTGTTACTCCCATTAAGCAAATGAGGCTTAGATTTGGTCAATTCACCAGTTAAGTGGTAAACCTGGAATTTGTTATTTATTATGTTTTTATATATTTTATTTTTTTATACAGCAGGTTCTTATTATTCATTTTATACATATTAGTGTATATGTCAATCCCAATCTCCCAATTAATCACATCTGCATCTATTGAGATGATCATACCATTTTCATCCTTTTATTTTGTTACTGTGATGTTCATTAAGTCCCCTACATACAACCAAGTTCTGTTCTGAGAACGCGTTTGTAAGTCCAATTTGTTCATCAGTCCAACAAAGTTAGCCTAGGTAGCCAACTAACACAATTGGCTATATAGTACTGTACTGTAATAGGTTTATAGTATTTTTCAAATAATACATAAAAAACAAACACAAATATTAAGAAAACATTTTAAATCTTACAAGTAAGTACCTTGAAAAGTATGCCAGACATGTGAACTAACTCAAGTGATTGGACATACGAATGCACGTTCACAGCTTTGAAAGTTCACAACTTGAAGGTTCGTATGTAGGGGACTTACTGTATCATGTTGATTGATTTGTGGATATTGAACCATCCTTGCATTCCTGGAATAAATTCCACTTGATAATGTTGTATGATACTTTAAATATATTGTTGAATTCTGTTTCCTACTATTTTGTTGAGGATCTTTGCATCTGTGTTCATCAGGGGTGAATTTTTTATCCTGCTACTTCTTTGAGGTTCTCTTTTCCCATCTCACCAGGTTTCAGATTTTACCTTTTGACTTTTCCTATTACTGGTAGAGCACAGATAACTGACAAATGGAGCCTATGAATCTGCGGGTCTTTCTGGGTTTCCAGGTCACCAGCCCCACCTTAATCCCCACATTAACTCATGTCATCTCCCTCTAGGGAAGAGATATTTCCCGATCCTCATAGCATCCTCATATGGTACTGTCATACCTACTTCACATATATATAAGGAAAGTGACAGTCACAGGGATTAACTGATTTGCCGAAGGCCACAAAGTTGTATAGGTAAGAGTTGAATCCTTATCTGCCTCAAAGGCCTGACCTCTTTTTATACCAGTCAGGTGTATGTCTTTAATGTTATGGACTGAATTGTGCCCCCACCCACCCAAATTCATATGTTGAAGCCCTAATCCCCAATGTGCCTTTATTCAGAGCTAAAGCCTTTAAGGGGGTGATTAAGGTTAAATGAGATCATAAGGGTGGAGCTGTAATCCAATAGGATTGGCATCCTTATAAGAAAAGGGACACCAGGGAATTCCCTGGCGGTCCAGTGGTTAGGACGCTGCACTTCCACTGAAGGGGACACGGTTCAATCCCTGGTCGGGGAACTAAGATCCTGCATGCCATGCAGTGTGGCCAAAAAAAAAAAGAGACACCAAAGATGTGTGCACACAGAGAAAAAGGCCTTGTGAGGACACAGAGAAGGCAGCTCTCTGCAAGCAAGGCAGACAGTCTTATCAGAAACCAACCCTGCTGGCACCTTGATCTTGGACTTCCAGCCTTCAGAATTGTGAGAAATAAATTTATATTTTTCTGTGTGTTTTTTTCTTTTTTTTTTGGCCGCACAGCTTGCGGGATCTCAGTTTCCCAACCAGGGATGGAACCTGGGCCATGGCAGTGAAAGTGCCAAATCCTAACCACTAGACCACCAGGGAACTCCTAAATTTCTGTTCTTTAAGCCTCTGGTATTGTTATGGCAGCCCTAGTACACTAATACAAATGACACTCTCCAAATTTTCAGAATTTACTTCCAGAGCTTAATACTTGCTCTAACATGATACTTTTAGAATTAAAATGCTGGGCAGAAAGCTAATCATAAATAAAAGCATGACCACAGCTGTGGTGAGCCAAGGCTACCACAGAATCACATCACTTTTTTTTTTTTAACATCTTTATTGGAGGATAATTGCTTTACAATGGTGTGTTAGTTTCTGCTGTATAACAAAGTGAATCAGCTATACACATACATAGATCCCCATTATCTCCTCCCTCTTGCGTCTCCCTCCCACCCTCCCTACCCCACCCCTCTAGGTGGTCACAAAGCACCAAGCTGATCTCCCTGTGTTATGTGACTGCTTCCCACTAGCTCTCTATTTTACATTTGTTGGTATAGATAAGTCCATGCCACTCTCTCACTTCGTCCCAGCTTACCCTCCCCCCTCCCACTTTTCTTTGTTTTGAACAAACTTCCTCAACGTAGGAAAATTATGCAAAATTGGGCCAAATGAACTTGCCTTTGCAAAACATAGAAGATGGACTCCATGTGCTGCTAAGGACAAGGGCCCTGGCATCTGTACAAACAGAAGAAACTGCATTGGCAGCTAGCAAAGCTTAGGAAAGAATGGCTAGGCTTAAACCATTTTCCTAAGCACCATGATTATAAAAATGATTATAATGAATAAGACCTAATCTTATTAATCTTTCATTCTCATTATAAGCCTGCAAAGTAGCTCCCATTTTCAGATCATAAAACAGAAGCACAGGAAGGTTAGCTAACTTATCCATAGTCATATAACTGCTATAAAGAATGGGATTTGAACATAGGTCTGAATACAAACCATTTTCTCACCCTATTTCTACATTGTGTTGCCTTCTGTCGGCTGATGGGTAGATATAAAAAAAAAAAAAATGCTGGACATACTAACATCATGTCCCTCTTGAGGCGATATAATTGGAATTTCACATCATCTGTGTAGTACTGTAGTACCCCCTTACCCATGCGGGATACGTTCCAGGACCCCCAGTGGATGCCTGAAACTGGGGATAGTACAGGACGAACCCTGTAAAGACTATGTTTTTTCCTATACATACCTATGATAAAGTTTAATTTATAAATTAGGCACAGTAAGAGATTAACAATAACTAATAAAAATGTAGTGTAATAAAAGTTATGTGAATGTGGTCTCTCTCCCTCAGAATATCTTATTGTACAAATTCAATGTCTTTCCATCTTAACTAAGCACTTATCTCACTGTGGCTGTAACTTTTGCAGTTCAAGGTTCAACAGCAAAACTAGCACAAAGTTTCTTCCTTCTTCACGATGAAACAGACTGGAGTTGTTCTTAGACCTTAGCACCCTCAGCATACGACTTTTTTTTTCTTTCCTTATTAAGTCAAGAACTTTCACCTTTTCACTTAAAGGAGCACTTTTCAGGTTCTCTTTAGCATATGCAAATTGCCAGCATTACTACTCTTGCACTTTGGGGATATTATTAAGTTATTTGAACACAAGCACTGTGATATCACGAGAGTCAACCTGATAACTAAGACAGCTACTAAGTGACTAATGGGATGATGGATGGGCTGGAGAGGGAAGGCGAAAGATTTCATTACGCTACTCAGAACGGTGCTCAATTTAAAACATGTTTATTTCTGGAATTTTCCATTTAATATTTTTGTACCTCAGTTTACTATGGGTAACAAATTGCGGAAAGCAAAACTGCAGATAAGGGAGGGGACTACTATATTCTTGCCAGAAACGTTTAACTGGATTTTAATATGAGGAAACAATCAGGAAGATGCAGATGCAGGACATTCTACACCACTGGCCTGGCCTCTTCAGAAAAATCAATTGTATATATTTTATGCCAAACTTCTTGAAGCATGTTAATGGTACTGTGGTTACTTAGGAGGAAAAGGCCTCTCTCTTAAACGTTGCTTAAGTATTTAGGGGTAGGGGCTTCCCTGGTGGCGCAATGGTTGAGAATCTGCCTGCCAACGCAGGGGACATGGGTTTGAGCCCTGGTCCGGGAAGATCCCATGTGCTGTGGAGCAACTAAGCTTGTGTGCCACAACTACTGAGCCTGTGCTCTAGGGCCCATGAGCCACAACTACTAAGCCCACGTGCCACAACTATTGAAGCCCACGTGCCTAGAGCCCGTGCTCTGCAACAAGAGAAGCCACAATTAGAAGCCTGCACACCCCAATGAAGAGTAGCCCACACTCGCCACAACTACAAAAAGCCCAAGTGAAGCAACAAAGACCCAACACAGCCAAAAATAAATAAAATTTATTAAAAAAAAAAGTATTTAGGGGTAAGGTGTCACGTCTGGAACTCACTTTCAACTGATTGAGGAAAAAAAGTGTGTACATATACTAGAACAAAACAAATGTAGCAAACCATTAATTGATTTGAAATTTTTCTAAACAGAGGAGGGAAAGAAAAAGCTAGAGACCCCATTCTGTTAGGGTAGAAGCCCTACCCATCATCAAGCTATGACTGTGTTCTAGCTCTACCTAAAAGTAGACCATATTGTTAGTTTCACATCTCTACTTCTTAAAAAGGGGGAAAGGGGGAAAGGGGGACGTTTTGGTAGGGAATCAGCCTTTTATAAAAGGTCATTTGTGTTAAATCTTACCAAAACTGATTTTTTTTTTCTTTTTTTGGCCACACCACGTGGCATGCAGGATCTTATTTCCCCGACCAGGAATCGAACCCATGCCCCCTGCAGTGGAAGCACGAAGTCTAAACCACTGGACCGCCAGGGAAGTCCCTGAAAACTGATTTTACTAACATTTCATTACATGGCTTTAGGAGAGAAGACATCTTAATTTCAACCCACTATTAATCCAATTCGCCTGATGCTGCAGTCTGAACTGGCTGTATTATAAGTCACTCAAACCTAAAACCTCTTTATCCAGCAGCTGGTTTCTACTATTATGGGGCTTCTAAAGTAAGACAGGATTTGTGTATTCTATTATCTCAAGTAAACTTGACTTCCCTGGTGGCGCAGTGGTTAAGAATCCGCCTGCCAACGCAGGGGTCACGGGTTCGAGCCCTGGTCCAGGAAGATCCCACATGCTGCAGAGCAACTAAGCCCGTGCGCCAGAGCCCTCGAGACACAACTACTGAGCCCGCGTGCTGCAACTACTGAAGGCTGTGCGCCTAGAGCCTGTGCGCCACAGCAATAAGAAGCCTGTGCACTGCAATGAAGAGTAGCCCCCGCTGGCCACAACTAGACAGAAGCCTGCACGCAGCAACAAAGACCCAATGCAGCCAAAAAAATAAATAAATAAATAAAATTACTTAAAAAAAAACCAAACCTCATTCACTCAGTTCTTTAAGCAGAAAGCCTCCAAATCTATCCCAGCAAAGTCTTCGATGTCCAAGGCTAATACTGTACTGCGAGGGAAGAACAGGTAGGGAAAAAAAGAGGCACTAAGAGGCTGGCTATTATCAGCACATCCTCAAGACTATCTTAATGACCACTTTAAAACTTTATTTCACCCATTTTTGGGAAGGTACACAATTTGATCTATCCCCACGGACATCCAATCCCCTAAGTCCAGGGTACTTGCTGGCCTGTCAGCAAGAAAATTCTATATAAATGACTTTTAATTTTTAACTAATTTACCAGCCAGTGCACCCAAATATGTTTATGTAGCTGACTTTCATGTTGGGTGGTTTCCAGAGAATTGAAGCAGTTCTCTCAGCATATAACACGGCAACCAGTGAAACCAATGACCCTATAATAGTTCATTTTTTTGCTTTTCAATGCAAACACATGAAACAATACCTAATTTCAGTTCAAACTCATTTCCCTTTTATTAAAGTCCAAGTTACATTACATGCTTTGGTACTCAACAAAGGAAAACTTGTTCAAATAAGGTAATATGTTTTCATCAGTATTTCCAGGTGATTGTTTACAATCAAGTAGCATTATCATTAAATCCTTAGGAAGCCCATCTGTAAGAGAAAACATGAAAAATTAGCTAGGAAATAAAGAAAAGGTAGGAATCTTACTAAAAATAACCTTTAGAGCAACAGCCCAAGAAAATCACTGTCTCTGTGTCGTCTCTTCTGCTCTTAATCCTGCCTGCAATCAACACACCAGGTACTAACTGCTTAGTTTTTTGTTATCATACACCTGGTAATTATTGGGGTAGTCTTCTTTTCCTATCAGAAAAGTGTTGGGGAGTTGCCCTCTTAAAAACATTTTAAGTAAAAGAGTACAGTGTTACTGCTGCTACAAAATATCCTACATAACAAAGATCTTCTGGACTCCTAGGAATAATACTTGATAAATGAAAGCCTTTCCACGTTTTACAAAGATGAGCTATCTGGCTTCAGGGAGGAGGAGGAGGTGGTGGTAGTGGCATAGGGGTGGACAAAGATAAAATTAAGACTCCTGCTCCAAAGCAAGCTGTGAAGAGACCTCAAAATTGGATTACAAAACCTCAGGCAGGGCTTCCCTGGTGGCACTGTGGTTGAGAGTCTGCCTACCGATGCAGGGGACATGGGTTCGAGCCCTGGTCTGGGAAGATTCCACATGCCACAGAGCAACTAAGCCCGTGAGCCACAACTACTGAGCCTGCGCGTCTGGAGCCTGTGCTCCGCAACAAGAGAGGCCGCGATAGTGAGAGGCCTGCGCACCGTGATGAAGAGTGGCCCCCACTTGCCACAACTAGAGAAAGCCCTCGCACAGAAACGAAGACCCAACACAGCCAAAAATAAATAAATTAATTAATTAAAAAAAAAATGTTTAAAAAGCTCCATAAAAAAAAAATAAAAAAACTCAGGCATTTTCTGCTCACTTTGTCAGCAGAAGATTGAATGTAGGGATTCTTTTTGAGTTCTAAGATTTTTTAAAAATTTAATTTAATTAAATTATTTATTGGCTGTGTTGGGCCTTTTTTTTTGTTAGATTCCATATATATGTGTTAGCATACTGTATTTGTTTTTCTCTTTCTGACTTACTTCACTCTGTATGACGGACTCTAGGTCCATCCACCTCACTACAAATAACTCAATTTCGTTTCTTTTTATGGCTGAGTAATACTCCATTGTATATAGGTGCCACATCTTCTTCATCCATTTGCGTTGGGTCTTTGTTGCCGTGCATGGGCTTTCTCTAGCTGCAGCGAGCAGGGGCCACTCTTCATTATGGTGCAGACTTCTCTCTGAGGTGGCTTCCCTTGTTGCAGAGCATGGGCTCTAGGTGCGCGGGCTTTAGCTGTGGCTCGCGGGCTCTAGAGCGCAGGCTCATTAGTTGTGGTGCACGGGCTTAGTTGCTCCACGGCATGTGGGATCTTCCCGAACCAGGGCTCAAACCCCATGTCCCCTGCATTGGCAGGTGGATTCTTAACCAGTGCGCCACCAGGGAAGCCCTGATTTTTAAATAAGTGTTTATTAGGTGTGAAATTAGATGTTCACTAATGGTATCCTAACCCGGCTCTTTATCTTGTGAGGAGTCTGATACTAGCTCTTTAAATAATTTGGGTCCACTTTTATTAAAACTTTTATAAGATAGTTTAGTTCCATCTTTTAAAAATAAACTTCTTACTCTTAGGAAGCAAATCCTCTACTTAAGCCTCATCATTTACCTCTGAGAAGTAAGAGTATGGCCTTAGTAAATGCCTCAGTACTGCAATGCAAAGGACGTGTGGCATAGTAAAAGCAATGGACTCTGGAGCCAGACTGCCTGGGTTTAAATGTGGGTTCCTCTACTAGTTGTATGACCTTGGACAATGTGCCTCAGTTTCCTCATCAGTAAAATGGGAATAATTATAATAATAGTAAGTACCTCACAGAACTGTTTGAGGATTAAATGAGTTAATACTTATAAAGCTCATAAAACAGTACCTGACACATAGTAAGAGTTATATACACTATGTGTGTTTGTTAAATAAAATAAATATATGACTTTTTACTTATATATTTTCTGTTTTACAAAGGATTTTCTGCATACTGATTACTACCCAGGCAATCCTGTGGCTCGTTTTATTACCTAATCTGTCTTTCCACAGAGGACAAGGTATCAAATAAGCTTTTATTATCAATGAATATTACTTAACTATCATATTCCAACATGGGCACACAAAAACAGAATCATCAAATCAATAAAACCCTATTAAAAATAAACAGATGTATAAAAGCATGCATGATGAACACCTTCTATGTAGTAGATTACCTTTAGTTGGGGGAGGTTAAAGGGCTGGAATTAGGGAAGAGGTATAGAGAGGGCTTCAACTCTATGTGAAACCTGTCATTTCTTGGGGGAGGGGGAAAACTAAAGCACACATGGCAAAAATAATAATATCTCAAAATCTGGGTGTGCTTATACTTATCCCCTATGCTACTCATTATGCTTGAAATATTTTATGTAGATTTTAAAATAAGGCTTTTACTTGCCTTTACGCCAGTAAAAGAATAATTATGACAACTAGAAACAACAATTCTATCTCCTTAAATTAATCATCAAAGGTACTCTCTCAATCTCTAAGCTCACAGCCTCTAAAAAGGCCACGAAAAGGTCTTGCTCTGAGAATACTGAAATGCCACTCACTCACCCCTCCCTGGATTCTTTCCTGCCTTTTTCAGGTATGTAGCTTACCCATGGGGTTTACACTTTGTCAAGGCCCAGTTCCTCTGGAGTGGAGATTCCCAGTTCATTTAAAGTTGGTCTAAGTTCCTGGATGACATAGGGGTAGATTTCCTTATGAGGTCCTGCTTTGTCCTGATGGCAAAGAAAATAGTCACATTTAGCTCTGAAAAGCTGTCTCTATTAACAAAATGAACTTGAAAATGCTTTTAATCACATATGCAGAGGCTAGTAGCAGAGCATACAAGTCACCTACTTTTTTGTTTTTTTTTTTGAGGTACGCAGGCCTCTCACTGTTGTGTCCTCTCCCGTTGTGGAGCACAGGCTCCAGACGCGCAGGCTCAGCGGCCATGGCTCACGGGCCCAGCCGCTCCGCGGCATGTGGGACCTTCCCGGACCGGGGCACAAACCCGTGGCCCCTGCATCGGCAGGCGGATTCTCAACCACTGAGCCACAAGGGAAGCCCTTGTCACCTACTTTTAAGTTAACATATCTGTTCAAAAAAGACAGCAACTTGGGACTTCCCTGGTGGTGCAGTGGTTAAGAATCCGCCTGCTAATGCAGGGGACACGGGTTTGAGCCCTGGCCCAGGAAGATCCCACATGCCGTGGAGCAACTAAGCCTGTGAGCCACAACAACTGAGGCTGTGCTCTAGAGCCCGCGAACCACAAGTGATGAGCCTGAGTGTCACAACTACTGAAGCCCACGTGCCTAGAGCCTGTGCTCTGCAACAATAGAAGCTACTGCAATGAGAAGCCCGCGCACCTCGACGAAGAGTAGCCCCCACTCGCTGCAACTAGAGAAAGCCCGCGCGTAGCAACGAAGACCCGACGCAGCCAAAAAAAAAAAAAAAAGCAAGACAGAAACTTATATAGGCACTATTCAAGGTAGGTTTTTAAGACACCTTGAGACTAACTAAGACAACTGGACTAAACCCAAGGGAAAAAACATTTTAAAGCCTTGAGTTACTGGAAAAGAAGGTGATGACAGAATTTTGTGAAGGCAATTAAACATGCCTAGCAGGCAACAGTAATAATTAAATTATCACAGAAAAAAGTTTTTTGATTTGCCTCAATTTGAGACCCTAACTGAATTAACTACTGGTGCTGAATGGATTGATAGCCTACAGAACCCTTAATTATCCTACCCATTTTAGATAAAGTAATATCATACTTTCCCTCTTACAGACCTTGAATTTCTTTCTTATAGAACACAATGTCTTTTCACGGAGAGCCACGCTTAGAGAATACTTATTTCCAAGGCAAGAGAGTTTTGATGAATACTCGCCATAACATACAATCACACCTATATTGTCATAATATTTGTTCCTCAGGGACAAATATTAAAAAAGTCAAATGGACTAAGACAGTGCCAAGCTATTACTCTTGTCTTTAACAAACTCTAGGTCCCTTAGCTGTATTTGCTAAAATTCTTATTTAAAATTCCATGCATTAATTTGTTCATTACAGAAAAATTAGAAACTATAATCAAATAAGAGGGAGGAGAATAAGTGTATATCCTCTTACATTTTGATCATTCTCTCTATACTTTTTAATAAAATGGGGTGATACACTGCAAAAATTATTTCATAATTTCCCTCAGTTAATACACTATGAATATCTTTAATGTTAAACACATTTCTACAACATGAATAATAACCTCTTCTGGGAAGTCCCACCTTAAGAAACCACTAGCAACATTTAATTTCATATCACAAACAGCACAAAGATAAACTGTACACTCTTAATTATTTCCTTAAGGTAAATTCTCAAATGGGATTGCTGAACAAATGGGTATCAGGCATAATTTTTAAGTCTCTGAATAAATTCTACCAAACCACCCTCCAAAAAGACTGTAACCGCAATGTACATTCCCTCTAGCTATATAAGAACTAATTTTAGGTATTTTAACAAATTCAGAAACACAGAATATGCTAATACCTAATCAATAGTCCACCTACTTCCAAAACAACTTTAGCATTGTTATTTTACTGACCTTAACAACTTCTAGGATGCGAACTGCACTAGCAAAATCATTTAAGCGTCTGCATGCCCGCAAAGCAGCATCAATGATTTTGGGTTCTGGAACCAGATCATAGCCAACAAGGGTGTTCATCCCTGTCAAATTAAAAAGAGGGGTCATATCAACCTGGAATATCCTCACTTAAACTATGATTTAGTTATCTGTATTTTTATTGAACCATAGACATGAGATCTTGTCTGTTTGAGCCTCTATTCTCTTATCTCTAAAATGAGATAATTGGGAATTCCCTGGCTAGGGAGGACTGGTTAGGACTCAGCGGGTCCACTGCCAGGGTACTGGGTTCGATCCCTGGTCAGGGAACTAAGATCCTGTAAGCTGCATGGCGCAGCCAAAAATAATATATTCTAGATAATGAGATCACAGTGGATCTTCCACAGTGAGTTAGTGAAAAGAACTATGCAGTAGCATGCAGACGGAAGGAAAAAAACCTCAAGAGTTTTCTTAAATGCAAACCCTGTTTTCAAAAGTAGCTGGTTTCTTTTCAAACAAGAGGGCCATTTTCAACTTATATCTTTAACTCTTAGTATGATGTATGTACTGTGATTGCTTTAAAATAGATCTGATTGGAAAATAATCTAAAAACAACCACAGAAATGCTTAAGGAGAGGTAATGAAGCCCAAATGAGGACATTAAGGAGATACAGAGAGCCATTAGCACACAGTCACAAACATTCAACCAGAAAATGACTGGGCATGATTCCTTTTGGCTTGGCACAAAATGATGCATCATAAAATTTAAGATTCTCTTAATGGGAATGCAGAACTGCTGTTCTTTTCATTCTTTACTCAAGATTATCCAATAAGAATTTCCCCAGGTGCGGCAAAATGGTGTCATTACATTCCTGCAGAGAAGTATGAAGCACTTAGGTTTCTTTCTTTTATTTATTTTAAAATATTTAAACGAAGGACACCAGTGACTGCAATGCTAGAATATAGTCATAGAGAATGAACTCTTGGTCTGAGATAAACTTCTTACACTTAAAATTAGTTATCTACCAGTCTACTAGCCTGGTTATTATTAATGCAACTTACTTATGTTAAATGTGTACTTACAAATTTAGGATAAACAAGTTCTAGCTTATTCAGATCAGACTCTTATTCAGGGCAAGACAAATCATAACTGAGAATAAAAATAACAAAAATCCCAAACTATTACCAAGAGGGGAAGAGAACCAAATGACTACTTGCGTAAATTATCTAAAAATTACACAACTGTTAAATCTTGCTCACCCCGGCCTATCACTATAGCAGTGATGATTTTGGCCCCCAGGAGACATTTTTAGTTGTCACAACTGGGGGTGTGTGAGGGTGTTGGCATCTAGTGTGTAGAAACCAAGGATGCTGCTAAATATCCTACAATGCAAAGGACAGCCCTTGCAACAAAGAACTGTCTGGCCCAAAATGTCAACTGTGCCTCCTTTAAAACCCTGCTTTACAGGAAATACTTACTCTGGAAACTATAAACTTTCCTAATTGCAAGATGCATGACAATCCCCAGTTTGCATGATACATGTTTTCAAAATACAGTTGACCCTTGAACAACATGGGTTTGAACTGTAGAGGCCCACTTACACGTGGATTTTTTTCAATAAATACTACAGTGCTACATGATCCGAAGTTGGCTGAATCCATAGATGGAGAACCTTGGTCACAGAACTGTGGATAAAGAGGACCAACTGTAAAGTTATATGTGGATTTTCTATGTGGGGGTGTGTGTTGGTGTCCCTAACCCCCCAAGTTTTTCAAGGGTTAACTGTAGTTACTTTCAACAAAGTAGTGGAAGACTACACAGCAGTTCATAACTCTATACTAAAATAGACACATATGCCTATGTTCCAATTACCTTTACGCAATTCCCAAGCATCAATATCTGGCTTATTGAAGTATGTCACCCAGCGAGCATCAAACTCCTCATCTGTCTCATGTGACCCATGGGAGTAGCAGCGAATTGACTGGATAGCTATAGGGGAGAGAGAGAAAAACTTCAATGTATATTATATTGACATATCTTGCCAATACATAAAGTTTTTTTGTTTTTCTTTTTTTGGTGTGTCTTAAAATACACATAACATAAAAGTTACCATCTTAACCATTTCTAAATGTACAGTTCAGTGGTATTAAATACACTCAATGCATTAAGTTTTGAATCAGCTATGTATGTCATGGTAGGAAAATTATTCAACAGGTCAAATGAAACAAATCTTATGTACTGATTTGAAAAAAATCTTAAAAATTAAGCACATTAAAGCAAGTAGAACAAAAAGTACTATGTATGTATGTTCATGCTTTTATCCCACTAATGTGTAATGCTGGCATGTAATTGTTAACAGTGGTTATCTTTGGAAGGAAAAACTTTATTTCTTTATACACTTAGTTTTATAAGCAATTATTAATTCTTAATTTAAAATAATGTCCATTCTTGGGAATTCCCTGGTGGTCCAGTGCTTAGGACTCTGCACTTTCACTGTCGAGGGCCCGGGTTCAATCCCTGGTCGGGGAACAAAGATCCCACAAGCCACTCGGTGTGGCCAAAAATAAAATAAAACAATGTCCATTCTAGTTCTTAAGCAAATTTATAAGATACACTTTCTTGGTAAATTAAAAAAAAAACTTATGCTCTCCATTAAATTATATCCCAAAATAAATTATACATCCTGACAAAGCAATGGTAATTTAAAAATTGTTTTATCAAACTACAGCCCCCTCCTTGAAAATTCTAATTAAAAAAGTGACTTACACCCAATGGAAAAAAGTTTTACTAGATTTCTAAGAAGTGAGATTTATTAATATAACACTATCAAGAAAATAGGAAACACTCAGTATTCTGCTCTCAATCAATATACCCTTTCTAGTACCATATGAAAAGCCTTCCCATTTTTAGTTTCTGCCTATCAAATGGACAGTGAATTGGGAGTTAAGAAATCTGAATTCTATCTAAACAGCCTCTGAATGGAGCAGGAGGTGGGAAAAGGCATTTTTACCTTTGGGTTTTAGGAGGCAGCAGAGCCTAGTGGTCAGATGCTTCTAGGCCCTTCACTCTCCCACTGTTTGACCCTGGTAAAATTAACTCACGTTTTATATTCCTTATGTATAAAATGAGGATACTACTACCTTAGTAGAGTATGATGATTAAAAATGAAAGCAAGCTAACACTTTGCCCAGGGTTTAGTACTTTGTATGTAGGTACTCAATGAATGGTAGCTTTAAATTAATCCTTATCTAGAAATGTCTTAATTGATCTTCTATTTATGGAAATTCTAATTTATAGAAATAAAACATTCTTCAAATTACATTTCTTGTTATATGAATTAGACAAGCTTGGTATAATTTCTAGTTATTTTTAAAGGCTTAACATACCAAAAATAACGCTTTAGCCCACTGTTACCAAAAATTTGTAAACTACTTTTTTTAAAAACTAAACTTATCCCTAGCAGAATAAAGTGTAAGTATATAATCGAAGTATAAACTGTTTACCAGTTCCTTATCGAGTTAAATACACACCTACCATACCCAGTAGTTCCACTTCTAAGTATTTACCCAAGAAAAATTAAGTATATAATTCTCTCCAACCACCCAGAAAAGCATTTCATGATAACAAATTTCTTTTGCTCACTGCTGGGCATGGGCATGGATTTCACTGGATGACCGTGGCTTTGTTTTGTTTTCTAACTATGAAAAAGATGGCTAGCAACTACAAATCCTAGACAGGGAGATCAATGGATCACCTTTGACAATTTGTTCACTTTCCTTCTGAGAGTCCCAAATTACAAACTGGTTGTATTCAAAAACAAAAAACAAAAACCCTGTATGAGACAAGTATTTAGAATACCAAGCAAGCACTGGGAACACACATAACTTCCAGGTTGGGAAAAAGATACTTTCCCACATGGTTTAAATTATATTCCTAATTCCAGTAATGGGCAGAGCAGGATCTATTCTTGTAGTTATTATGAACATGCTTAACATTTTGATTTTTAGGTAAACTATATAGGCATCTTTTCCCTCCCCCACACCACCCCTACTTAAGTACAGCATTTCCACCTAGTTTTGAGGCTTGATAGTAAATTATTTTGGAAAACAATTACTCAGTGCTTTTATATAAACTAAAGATTCCAGAGTAGGGAAAAGGAAGCAGCTGTAAAAAATTGGGACATTTCTAGGGCTACAATCTAAAAATCTATTTCTAACACTGCTTTCTGGCATTCGGTTAAGCAATCTTTTTTTAAAAAAAGGTTAACAATATATTTAGAAAAATGAAGGGGCTCATTAATCCCCTTCAATAACTAATCAGCTCAGACAAGGCTCAGAGAATGGACGTTTTGGTGGTGGTGATTCTAGGAGTAATGGAAAGAAGTGAATAATGCAGAGGGTACATGAACAAGCTCAAAGGCAGGGTTGCAGAGGTGTAAGGCTTAAGAGCAGTCATGAACCTTGGGGTCCAAAGGCTGGAAGTCTATAAATGTGGGAGTGGTGCAGAAAAGGTTGGAAGGTAATAAAAAGTGCTACTTAAATTTAGCCCTGCACCAAGAAAGGAAAAGCGGAAACTCCTCCCACCTTTTCAGAGCTATCAGGGTAAGGACAGGTGCCAGGATTGTGTAACTTTTAACGGTTGACTAGAGAATCTAACCATTATTCAAAACATTTAATTATGTAATTCAGCAGTTATTGGAAAACAATTCTGTTACAAGTTGGAGATTTCTCCTGGGACCAAATATGGAATTTGGGTTGCTACTTACCTACAGCAAACTTGAGGCCCCTCAGGTAACCCCTCCAGAGCTCTTTCACTTGACCTTGGATAGCCTCATCCAAGAATCTTAGTCCTTTCTGACTTTTAATTGCATAAAACCTCTTCATCTCATATTGATAACAAACCTCACCTATAATATGCAAAAATGAAATGCACTATAAAAAAGCAAATATGTATTAAGCATTTGTGCCAGGAAAGGTGCTAAGAGTTACATTATCTCAGTTAAACCTCACAACTACTAAATATTATCCCAATTTTACAGATGAGACAACTGAGTCTTAAGGTTTAATTAATAAGTCTATGGTCACACAGCTAGAAAGTAGCTGACACAAATGTAACCAAGACTGCCTCCTTGTGGCAAATATTTAGGTTTACAGGACAACACGTAAAATAAAGCTTTTTATGAATTACACTAAGAGGGTGACTAGAGTGCCTAGAAGATAAATCACTATGTCCAAACTTACTAAGAGTTTGAGTTCACATGTTTAAATATGCATGCTTAGGGGCCAAATTTCATAATGTCGCATATACTACCATCATGGACCAAAATCAAAGTGCAGTTACAATAATTAAAAGTTCCGTGCTGGACACAAAGTTTCCCGGAACACATATAAGGGGAAGGCAAAATGAGAGACAGCAATCAGCAGACCATCTCATACTCCAACAATCAGGCTTCTAACCGGAAGCCGAAAATAATGCTTCCCCATGTTTGTAGAAGCCAGTACTCCTGGGTCTGTGGTACCCAATTTTCGAAAGAGTAATATTCTTATCATAAGACCTATCAACAGTCAGGCTTTCTTCCAGACCTCAGGAAACAACCACACACGTCGATCTATCGTAAAAATGGAAGAATTAGAACGTGGCACAGCAGTCTCTAAAAAGAACAGAATGTTCTGAGAAAGTGACAGACAAAACGCTAACCGAGAAATGTCGGATGAAACGACTATACTTCGTTCCACACGGAAGTATAACGCATTCTCGGAAGACGCTGGGGGCGGCGGTGCCGGGGTCCCCGGAGGGACCACCCCCCCCGCCCCTACCCTGAGCTCAATGTCACCTTCGCCGAAGCGCTGCAGGCCGGCGGTGGCCACTCCCAGTCAGGTGGCCACGGGGTCAGCGCCGGAGCAAGGTCACGGCCCGGGGACCGAAGGGGTTCGGTGCGCGCTGGAGGTGCGCTGCGCCCCCTCCTTGGCGCCCAGAGCAGGTCCACACTTGACCCGTCCGCGGTGCCCGCACCAGGAAGTCACGCCGAGGGAGGCCCCGGGGGCGCGCCCTCGAGTCCTCCACAACTCGAGGCGGCGGAGAGAACGGCCAGCGGTCACCAGGTTCGGCCGCCGGCCCGCATGGCAGGACCTAGGCCTCTGGGCAAGCCTGCCCTCGCGTGGCAGCGGGGGCCCAGGTCACCGCAAGGACACGCGGGCGCGGACAGTGGCAGGCGGGGGCCTTACCGGCGGCGGGGCCGGGGGCCGGAGTGGTGTGCAGGAGGCCTCGAGGGCTGGTCCGGGCGACTGCGGCTGCTGCTACCGAGCAGCGGCGGACAGCGGCGCCTAGCATGACGGTGATGGCGGCGCGCAGGATAAGGCTGAGGAGAAGCCGGGTGTGAGCTCAAGACCGCTCGCCAGCTCGTGGGGGCCGGACTCACGCACCGACGCACGGCGGGCGGAGCGTGAGGGCCCGCCCACTGCGGAGTTCGCGCCTTGGCGGAAGCGGGCACCACGCGGCCTCGGGCGGGCTACGGCGGCGCGCTCAGGACAATTTATTTCGGCCCCGCTCTCCGCCGACTCGCTGGTCCCGTGGACTGCAGCGGCGATCATGGAGCTAGGATGGAAGGAAGAAGGCGAAGAGCCGTCAGTGGACCGTAGCGTGGTTCAAGTCTGGCTCGGGAGGCGACTCTAGCACCTCAACATGGGAACAATAACAATAACAACGACAAATTATTATAAAAATACCTTCTTTGCTTTACCCCCCTGTTTGAGCCTAAAATAAGAGAACGAGTGGGACAGAACGACTGCTTACCTATAAGGGACCCTATTAGTAACTATTCTTATACCACAAACCCGCAAGCATTCAAAAAATGAGTCCAACCACTTGACGTTACAGAGAAGGAAATGGGCTCAGAAATTAGATTCCTTGCTGGCAATCGAGGCTCTTTTCACCTAATCCCCAGTCCCAGGACTCACCTGGATATTTCTGGTGAAAGGCCCTCCCCCAGTCCCTACAGGAGGCGGTTGATTAAGTTCCAAGACTCTTAACGTCTAATCTGGCTTCACTAACTGCATTCTGACCTTGAGCTCCTAGGCAGTGAGACCACATTCTCCAGGCCTGAATTATCTCGGTGCCACAAGGAGTTAATGAGACAAGTCTCATTATCTCTTGTTATCCCTCATTGTCTATCCCTGGATCTGAGGAAAGAAAAGATGGACATTCACTCTCCACTTCCTGACTCTAGGCCCTGTCTCCAGGGTGTCAGTATTGGCCCTTCTCTGTTTCCTACCTAGCAGTGCTTTAGGGGGTATGAACCTGGCTGGGAAAGTGATAAAAAAGCTTTTTTTCAAAGCACCTGTCCTGAACTTCTCCCACCAACCTAACGAAAGGACACCTGGGGAAGGTTTCGCCTCTTTGATTTCAATTAATATTCATCAAATCTCCAAGAGCTGGAAGCTCAGGATGAGGTCAGGGCTCCCATAATTAAGAAAGCACTGGGAAAAGAATCTAGAAAGAAGTGGGTATATGTATATGTGTAACTGATTCACTTTGCTGTGCAGCAGAAGCTAACACAACACTGTAAATCAACTGTACTCCAATAAGAATTAAAAAAACAAAAAAAAACTATAAAAACTGGAAAAAGAAAAAAAGAAAGCACTGGGCTGGGAGTTCCGTAGCAGTCCAGTGGTTAGGACCCAGCGCTTTCACTGCCATGGCCTGGGTTCAGTCCCTGGTGGGGGAACTAAGATCCCTGAAGCCTTGCGCAGCCAAAAAAACAAAACAAAACAAAAAACCCACTGGGGTATATGGCAACTGAATCCCAACTGGCCTCTGCTGTCAGTCTCTCCACTTGGCCTACAGGACCTTAGATTGGCTACAGGAGTGTTGTGCGTTTTTGTTGTTGTTGTTTTTAGAAACAATTATGACTGTTGCGGTCTCGCACACACCTGCGAACTTCCCCCGGAGAGAAATCAGAACCAAGACAGAACACTAATATCCAGTGCAAATCAAGAGTAGATTAGTGATAGGAGTTTATTAAGCACAAAAGCACAAACCGATCGGGGCCTCACCAAAAGAAGGGTGAGACCCCGAGTCTTGTACAGGTGTGGTTTTTATATCCCAGGGTAACAAGATGTGCGTTCTAATTTTGAATTATTGGGTCGGCCATCTGGAACCCAGTGTCTTCCTGTTCACATTATGCTGGCAAGCAAAGCTCAATTCCACAGAAGCCAAGTCAAGTGGTTAGCAATAAAAGTAGTTATAGTACAAACAGTTTTAAACCAAAACATTTCATCATTAATTCCAAGTATTACAATCTAAACTGTATGTTCTGGGACAGCGTGTCCCGTCACAATGACCATAATTTATTATGTGCCACTGCATGCTACAAACTATTTATTATCCCATCTAAGCCTTATAACATTGTTGTGAGATAAGTATTTATCCCTATTTTATGGATGAAGAAATAGACTCAGAGGACATTGCCCAAGAATCACACAGCTGATAAACAGTAGTGCTTAGTTAGATTTGAGGCCAGTTTTGTCTGACTCCAGAAATTTTCTTTCCCCACCACCCATAAAGGTAGGCTTTGCTAGCTTCCCAGCAAATTCTGAATCCCCTGCTACTCTGAGGGCAGTTCTAAGCCCTCATCACCTGTTTTAGGTTTTTTTTGTTGCTGCTGCATACCAATTTACCACAAACTAAGCAGCTTAAAACAATAACCATTTATTATTTCCCAGTTTCTGTAGGTCAGTTATGCCTTCATAGCATAACTGATTTTCTACTCAGGGTCTTCTGACAAGACTGAAATCAAGATGTCAGCCAGGACTGTAGTCTCATCTGGAGCTCAGAGTCCTCTTCCAAGCTTGTTTAGGTTGTTGGCAGAATTCAGTTCCTTACAGTGGTAGGACTGAGTCCCCATTTTTTTCTTGCTATCAGCCAAGGATCACTCTCAGCTCCTAGAATCCACCCTCAGGGCCTTACCACATGGACCCTCCATAGGCCCTCTCACAATACCACCACTTATTTCTTCAAACCAGCAGGAGAGTACCTCTGACACTTCACCCTCCTTTAAAGACCTCATCTGATCAGGTCAGGCACATCCAGCATTATCTCTCTTTTGATTAATTCAAAGTAAATGGATTACTGGGTCTGCGTGCCACAACTACTGAAGCCTGTGCACCTAGAGCCCGTGAGCTACAACTACTGAAGCCTGTGCGCCTACAGCCTGTGCTTTTCCTAGTTGCGGCAAGCAGGGGCTACTCTTCGTTGCTGTGAGCGGGCTTCTCATTGCGGTGGCTTCTCTTGTTGTGGAGCACGGGCTCTAGGCGCGCGGGCTTCCGTAGTTGCGGCACGCACACTCAGTAGTTGTGGCTCATGGGCTCTAGAGTGCAGGCTCAGTAGTTGTGGCACAAAGGCTTAGTTGCTCTGAGGCATGTGGGATCTTCCCGGACCAGGGCTCGAACCCGTGTGCCCTGCTTTGACAGGCGGATTCTTTTTTTTTTTTTTTTTTTTTTTTGCGGTACGCGGGCCTCTCACTGTTGTGGCCTCTCCCGTTGCGGAGCACAGGCTCCGGACACGCAGGTTCAGCGGCCACGGCTCATGGGCCCAGCCGCTCCGCGGCATGTGGGATCTTCCCAGACCGGGGCACGAACCTGTGTCACCTGCATCGGCAGGCAGACTCTCAACCACTGCGCCACCAGGGAAGCCCTGACAGGCGGATTCTTAACCGCTGTGTCACCAGGGAAGTCCCAATAAATTTATAAATCTATATTAAAAAAAAGAATAACGATGGAACCTACTTAATAGGTTATTGGGAAGATTATATAAGATAATGCATGTAAAATACTATGTCCTGGCTGGACATAGCTCAATAAATGGAGCTCAATAAATGGTGAGTGTTGTATTCTTCTGTTGTAAATTATAGAAAGTTCTTTTCCCAGGGCATGGCAGGTTGTGAGACGAGGGACAAGGCATGGAGGTGGGGGGTGGGGGGGACAAACACACCATATAGATTACCTGGGAATCAGGGAGAAAGGGTGGCTGGAGCCTTCAAAGGTGATCCTGTGGGGGACCACCATCCAGTATGGGTAGGAGAGCTCTAATAGTACTTTTTCATAATTAATTAATTAATACTTATGTAATTTCCTAAATTATTTCTTTTATGATCAGAACATCATTAAAGGATATCATTTTTTTTTTTTTTTTTTGCTGTACACGGGCCTCTCACTGTTGTGGCCTCTCCCCTTGCGGAGAACAGGCTCCGGACGCGCAGGCTCAGCAGCCATGGCTCACCGGCCCAGCCGCTCCGCGGCATGTGGGATCTTCCCGGACCAGGACACGAACCCGCATCCCCTGCATCGGCAGGCGGACTCTCAACCACTGCGCCACCAGGGAAGCCCAAGGATATCATTTTTGATTGAGATATAACTCACAAACCATAAAATTCATCCTTTTAAAGTGTATAATTCAGTGTTTTTTTGTATACTCACTATGTTGTATAAGCATTATCATTATCTAATTCCAGGACATTTGCATCACGCCAAAGAGAAACTCCATACCCGATGGCAGTCATTCCCCATTCCCCCTACCCCACCAGCCCTAGGCAACCACTGATCTACTTTCTGGCTCTATGGATTTGCCTATGCTGTACATTTCATATAAATATGAATGTTATTTTGGCTGGTTTCTTTCACTTAGCATAATGTTTTCAGGGTTCCTCCAACTAATCAGTACTTCATTCCTTTTTATGGCAGAATTATACTCCATCATATGGATATTTCACATTTTGTTTGCCTATTCATCAGTTTATGGACATTTGAGCTATTTCCACTTTTTGGCTATTATGAATAAGGCTGCTGTGAACATTTGTGGACATGTTTTTGTATGGACACGTGTTCCATTATTTTGGATATATATCTAGGAGTATTATATGGGTTATAAGGTAAGTCTATGTTTAACTTTTTGAGGAACTGCCAAGCTGTTCCAAAGCAGCCTACATCATTTTACACTCCTGCCAGCAATGTATGTAGGTTCCATGTTTCCACATCCTTATAATTTTTTTTTTTTTTTTCCAGTACACGGGCCTCTCACTGTTGTGGCCTCTCCCCTTGCGGAGAACAGGCTCCGGACGCGCAGGCTCAGCAGCCATGGCTCACCGGCCCAGCCGCTCCGCGGCATGTGGGATCTTCCCGGACCAGGACACGAACCCGCATCCCCTGCATCGGCAGCAACCACTGTCACCAGGGAAGCCCATAATTTTTTTTTTTAAACAAAGAAAGCTGAGTTTTTGTAGCTGTCTGAACTAAGCCCCACACCCACAGCTTCCAATCAGGAAACAGAGCCCAGGGCAGGGGTACTTTGTGTTCTGAGTTCATTAGCTGCTCTCCTAAAGGTTTCTTCCTGTGTCCCCCAGCTCCTTGAGCCAAGAGACTCT